CGAATGTAGGAAAATTGAAGAGATATCAAACCATGAAGACGTCGAACTGATCATACCACCACTAGATCCTGATAAAAAAATAAGGTGTGTCGAAACTGTAAATGCAGGAGAAAGTATGTAATGTCTTATGGTGACTTACCCTTTTTCTTAGATGTCATTAATTCTCTATTCGTGCAGTCCAACTTATTGTCGATGCCTGGGTACTGTTATTACTAATTATTTTTGAGTAAAAATTGTACTGACCAGTTTGTTGTTATATTCATAGCAATCTCAAAGTAACAAAGAATCGCATCTTGTATGTATTGCTAAATAATGGTGAGGTAACACTTACGTAAGGTCATTCGATGTTTACTTCAGTTTCTAGTAGTTGCGTTTTTATTATTTTGCAGCTAGGTAACTACGCTTACTCTCATATTGCTATGTGATTATATAGTTATACATGTTATAACGATTAAAAAAGTAATTTCCGTATCCGTGATGTGGTCGTTAGACGACTTTAAACCTTATAAATATTTAATGATTGAAATACGCTGTGTTATGCTATTCTGGGTAGGATAAAAATAAGTCGGAGAATAGCTAGGAGTGGTTAAAGCAATATTTAATATCAGCCCATGAAGCTATTGGCGTTTGATCTAAGTTGTTTCAGTAATTTCGAATTATGTTACAGTCCTCAGAGTAATTGTACTTTATTGTTCAAGACTTCAAGTGGCACGGCTAACTGTCGAGCAAGGTGTTGCGAATGGGCTCTATCATTATTCTGAATCTTCAGCTTAGTATCATGTGTAGGTTTTCGGAACCACTGATACCATTATTTTGACTAATTTGCTTTTTATTCCAGTAAAGTCCTTCCACTATATTCATGTAGTTTGGCAAACTAACCCAAAAAGTTTGTGCCAATTCCGATTTTATATAACATAGGCTGCTTGGTCAGTCATCCTTATATATATACAAAGCGATACATAAAATGGCATGGTTAGATACAGCATATGGTTACTAGTACATAAATGGTAAACATAAGTGGTCGACCACTTGTTCTTTGGCATAATACTACCACTCATGTAATTTTAATTCGCTCCTTATAAATAACCGGTGATTTGATTTTATTCCGAAGTACCAGTATAATATTTTGCATAATGTACCGTGTTAAATCACCATTGATGCATCAGGACTAAAAGAAGAAACTTGCTAAGTCATAGTACTTCTGACTACACAGAAAAATATAGACTCCACACTTACCCGCTCAAGAGCGAGCAACCTTAAAAAATAGGTGGATAGAAAGGTCACCATCATAGTACCAACAGACAAAGGTAGTTATGGACATCAAGAAGGCCAGTGACCTACTCAAAGACAAGTCTATAACAACCATTAGTGAGAAATCCTATTAAAAAATTAGCTGAATCGACAGAACTCTAAGCGAACTCGTCAAACTACGAAACAAGACCAGTGACGAACAAAATCCGCTACAACAGATCAAATTAAATACTTCATTACAAAGTATTGTTACGGCTGGACAGTAACATACATTTTGTGCAAAGAACTCTAAATGATAATAAAAGACAGAATCTTGTGATCATTCTATGGATTCCTCAACTTAGTCCCCTGACTGCACAAGTTTCTCATAACTCACTCTTATTCAACAAACATACGAGTGAAACTAATAGGATCCCCTATTTCACAAATAATTGCAGATAGCGTGATGCAAAGACTACAAAGCACATTTCTACTAGCAATCGAACTGAAGATTTAAATACGTAGATGACATTCGTTAGTTCGGAAATGCTTAGGATTTTATCAACAACATCTTCAATAATATCAAATTTACAAGTCAAAAAGAAGAATAAGTTAAAACTTTCCTTGAACGTTTGACTCAACAGAAATACAGTCAGTCAGCTACAACGTAGGACCAGGCACATTTATGCATCGGTAAAAGTTGCCATACCTCATTAACACAACAAGATCAACGCCGGATTCATAAAAGTAGTTATTTCAGAGGTGGTAATATATAAAAGAAAGATTGCAATAAGGATATAGTGCAGAAAGAAAGGATTAGTTCGTAGAAAGAAAGATATGGAGCGATTTTAAACTCTTAGTTTAAGGGAAGACAGAAAGTGTATACATCTACACCATTGTGATCGATTCTGAGCCATGTCACCCACAGTCTCCAATCATTGGTTACAATAGTCGCACGGACCCCAACCGAGTAGTTTGCATCTAACAACATGGCTCAGACTAGAAGTTGGTGACTTCAAGCACTGGTGCCACGTTTTGGTTTCGCCGCCCCTAACTTTCTTCCAACCATCTCCAACACCGGTTAGCATTGCACATCGTGGTAATCGGTGTTCAGGCATACGTAACACGTGGCCTAACCATCTCAGTTGATGAAGATTCACAACCTCATCAATTGATTTACCATCATTCCCTAATAACCTGCCTCTAACCTCACTATTACTTACCCGATGATCCCAGCAGACGCCAGCAATTTTTCTGGGGTATCTGTGGTCAAATACTAATAGCTTACGAGTGTCTTCTACTCTTAATGGCCATGTTTCGCTGCCGTGAATTAAAACAGAACAGACTGCCGCACAGTATACTCGTCCTTTGTTGATAGACGGATATCTCGTCTTCGCCATAGGTGACGTAAGTTGGCAAAAGCCAAGCGAGCTTTTCGAATCCGTGCTGAGATTTCGTTAGACACCAACCCATTAGGACTGATCAGACTTCCAAGATAAGTGAAGTTGTCAACGCGTTCGACTACTTCACTCCCTATCCTTAGTTCATGTGTTGATGCAGACCAGTCCTGAAGCAGCAGCTTGAATTTAGAGGGAGAGAAGCGCATTCCGAACATTCTGGAATTGTTGCTTAGTGCTACCAAAAAACTCTGTATTTTATCAGCGTCTTCACCAAACAGGACTATATCATCTGCGTGTTCTAAGTCGATAAGTGGACCTCCTGGAAGGAGATCAATACCCGAGAATTCAGTGGACGAGAATGTTATTTCCGTCAGGTCTATGATGAAGTTAAACAAAAATGGAAACAGAAATACAGGCACTTGGAGACACAAGTGCACGGAAAACCAAGCTACATGTTTAAAATACTAATCTACAGCAGCACCCAAAAGCAGTTGTGACCGGACGCTATTCAGTTAAGTGGAAACTCACTTAAGTGCTCTCATTACACGAAGAATTAGAACTCATCTTCAGTTCATCTCCCTCAAGAATAACTACCTTACCCTGACATCTAAAAACGTCTGACATACAATTACAATACCAACCCTAGAAAACGGAAACAGATTTTCTTACCACATTTAAGAAATATCGCAGAAACCTGTACAGTGATCCTAAGGCCCTATGGAATTACATTCGCTACAAAACCAATACAACCACTTCATCGCATTGCATCTAAAATACAAATCTAACCTAAACAAAGTAGATTGTATCAACTGCTATATTAGAACAAGTGGGTTCTCCTTTTACTTAGGTATAATCGAATCGGGTAAAACCTGATAGTGCCAGGTAGATTGTGGTTAGTTGGCAGCTAACAGCCATATCGATCTAAATCTATGAACACATATGGGGGATGTTAAACAATTGCGAGGCCAGAGGGTCAACCGACAAAGTTATCGCAAATACAAGGACGAATGGATACGACAAACATAAACTACGGCAAACCCATCTAGACGAACTGATAAAATACTTTGGGAATAACTAGGAAACTCACTCACACAAAGCATGTATTGATAAAATACTTCAATGAGATTTCTTGGACTTGATTCCCGAGTAACATTAACGGCTGGTCATTGTCATTATAAGTCAAGAGTATTTCCTGTTGGCGTTTTTTGTTCCGTAGTTTTATAGGTGATTCATTTCTGGCTCACAGAGCAAATCCTCAGGAAATTACTGTTGGACCTCCATACATCCCACTACCATTAAATTTAGTTTTGTACTCTATTAAATGTCGAATATGGAGCATCACCACCTAGCCAAGGATGCAAGTTTGCATACCTCATATTATTATTGACGAAGCAATTAAAACCTTGTCACACTAGGACATTGTAGTGAGCTCAACTTCCCAAGCTGAATTCGTGAATAAGCCCACTTAGATAGCTTCCGAACAAATTTGCTAACCACCATTTCCCGCTATCTTACCAGATCATCAGTGCACATCTTCAGAAGTTTATCTGGATTGCAGCCCTTCATATACTGTTATCTAATCGGACAACTGTTTTCGGAATTGTACCAGTAAATATTCATTTGACAACTTTTTATCCTATTCATATATGAACAGCTTCCATTTATCGTAACACTATCTTGTTCACCCGCCAGCCACTCCACACGAGGACCGGGTAAATGGACGTTGATAACACACTATTTTCGACAATATGGAGACAAAATAGTTGAGGTGATAATAGCTGAGCGACTCAGTCTTTCTGCAGATGCTGCCAGTTACCAAACAACATGAACCCATAGATGATTAGCGCGCTGGGCTTAATGTAACTACGTCCAGCAAGCGGAGCAGTCCAGTGCGCATGACAGCAAATCCCTATATTTTTGGGAGTGGGGTGCTCCACATGTTTACTGACCTCATTCTCTTCTTATTCTTTGAATATCGCGACTGTTTAATTCAATAGGCTGTGAGATGGAAATAAACTCACCCATTTGAAAAGAATACTTCAGATTTTAAACTTGGCTGATGTAAGCTACCACACCTAAGGGCTTATTTCTCGGTCGACTTCGTCATCATTTTAGTTAATTCCAGGTATGACCAACATTCCTCTGTCAGAGATTATTATACCGCAGTGAATTTTATGGAAACAGTTCGATAAAACTAGATACTAAGCCTTCGTAAGTCAAGCTAGGACAATGGCCTAAAAAATCATTTCGTCAGGTGGAATGTTGTTTAGTATTTTCATGAAACACTAATTTAAAGACTATTGTGACAATTAAGAAATTCATAGTTTTTAAATCAACATATTCATCAATTTCGAATTTATTACATGAATTTTAGGCTTCTTCCAATAATAAATCATCTTTGACGTGTTCTAAGTTCTCAGCGCAGCCAGTTTTTGACATGACGAAATCGTCTTCTACCCGCATACCGATGCCCAGAAAGTCTCTCGAAACGCCCAGTTTCGCCAACTCATCTCTGAAGTAAATACCTGGTTCTAAAGGGAACACAACGCCTGGTTCGAAACGTTTTGTACTAGGTATCGTAGGAGTATCATGAATGTCTAAACCAAGATAATGTCCGACATGATGTGGACATATCTTTTGTGCAACCTGAATTTTAAAAATAAAATTTTTGCGTAAGGTCGGTTCAAAATCGTAATATGTATCATGGTAACATATTTCGAGAAAAAGCAGAATAGTTTGCGTTAAAACTGATCTAGCAGTTTGGCTAAAGCATACAAGTTTTGAAATCTTTACTTCAAGTCCAAATCGTGTTTGTTATAAAGTGGCAACCGTGAAGAAAGTGCTTCTGTGCAGTGCCTAGTAACAAAAAATATCTGGTGACAAAATAGACAAGATATTTTCCGGCGAATTTGTGAATCTGAGTTCTAGGTTGTCGCCACTGAATTAAATCACGTTTGTCAGCAATTTGGATTTCATGCTAAGGTGAAGTGCTAAGCCCCACGATTAGGAAACTCTCAATTTGGCTAATTTCATATGATCATACAAGCCCTTTCATAAAAACGTTTACTTGCGATTATTATTAATAATGTCTTGCGTTAGATGAATTACATATTTCGAAACCTTTGGCAAGAATAATAATAGAAATGAACAGTCATGTTCAGCATATTAAGTAAGTCTTTAAACACGTTTCGTACTTGCAGATCCACGTACTCGACCTCAAGTCACACTATGTGAGGACCAGTAATACTAACCAGCTCCCCGAGAGAGGTGAAGTGGGGTCAATCAGCTGCAACATAGGACCAGGCACATATATGCATCGGTCCAACTCGCCACACCCCATTAGCACAAAATGAACACCAAATTCATAGAAATATTCACTTCAATGGTAGTAATATATAAAAGAAAGATTGTGTATAAGAATATAAAATTGGAAGAATTAGTTCACAGAAAGAAAGGTATAAAGCAAAGCGTGTATACGCCGACGCCACTGTGATCGATTCTAAGCCATGTTACCCATAGTCTCCAACCATTGGTTGCGATAGTCACTTGGACCTCAAGCAAATAGTCCGCATCTACCAACATGGCTCAGGGTGAAGTGGGTTGTGAACTATCAATTGGAAGTTGTTTTTATATCGTATAACCACCACTTCACTTACAAAGGATATTCGAAGTGAACGAAGTATGTACATTTGAGAGATCACTTATTACAGGTACATAATGGATTTGGCGCTTAAATGCGTATCTATATACCTAATACTATGGAAGTTTGTTGTTCATATTTGAAAGGATTTACGCTCGAAACTACATGCGAGCCAATAATTGTTGTTAATCAATGTAAGTGGAAATCAAATACTTTTATCAGTCTTTATGAAAGTGCGCGTCAAATGAACTTGCAAATTCTTTGCAGCATATATATCTGGTGCCCCTTGTACCAATATTTATGTGTTCAAATAAATAAATAAATAACTCATTTCACTTTACTATGATGTAGCGACTGTAAGAACAGTAAAATTTTAATTTAAACTTCTACTTATTTTTGTTCAATTTAAATCAAACCACAATCATTAATAGATTGTTGTGTAGTAGATCATTTTAAGATCAGCAGCAGATGATATATGTATATGAAGACAATAATGTCCATAGCAAGAGGAAACTTGGATCAAGTTCAAGGTGCTGGAACAATCGTATGTCAATTAAGTATAAGATCATGGAAATACCGATAATAATACTAATGGTAATATGTAACTATGAAGGAATTTGATTAGGAGGTAAGTATCTGTTAAAAAAAATTAACTTACATGCAACTTGTCCTGGTCTGGGATAATCCCCTCACTTATTAAGTGTCGTCCTACTTCAGACAGCATATGATGATATACATCTTGCAGACTTTGTTCAGGAGAGGCTAAAGATGCACATGAGTTCTGTACATCAACTAATATTTCATGTATAACTTTTTGGGGTGCCGAAAAGTTTCCTAATGAATAAACAGATTTTAATATGTAATTACATTGTTTTGGATTTGACCTAACTGAAACATTCACCAACTATAATGGAGTAAGTAGGTACTAATGCACGTTTTACTGAAAGTGAAACTTAATATACGGCATCGGTTAAAAAGTTATTTAGTGGTAGGAATAAGGCGTCTTACCTGTCTAGCCCTATATCTCAAATATCATAAGTGGAATGAGATTGGATAATTCATCAAACTGACACAAGATCACAGATACTTCTTTAAAATGAGAAATCGAAATAACCTGGTACGACCAGTGTCTTACAAAGCTTTGATTATTTGTATGAACATATCCACGAGAATGAGTAAGGAGTATGGTTATGCTGCATCATAAAAACTATAGAAGTTGACAAAGCGATAAATATTGACGGTATTTACCATAGAATTAAAAGGAGTTTAGTAGACAATTAAATTATTAACATTCGTTCATTGAATATCAATTAGTAATATCACAGTTACACATACACACACTCATCTGTTTTCACCTTGTGTACTTTTCACATTTATTTGTACGGACTAATGATTCTGTTGTACTTAAATACCTGTTTATTTCGGATTCCAAATATAATACATTCATTTCGGGAATTCCTATTTAGCATGATGATTCGAATATTTGTGTGTGTGGGGGCTGTGATACTGCCCGGGTGCCCAGACCGAAGCAGGTAGTTTTCTTAGGGGGCCACACCCCGAGCCTTTGACCTAAAGGTCTGATCCACAAGGCAGTGGAGCACCGTAAGGAGATGCAGTTCCATGGTAGCCGGTGGCCAACGATTGGTTCATACGTCATTTGTTCCCGCAGGATACTGGAGCTCGTGTGCACCATTGGTTTGGGATCCGGTTAAAGCACCAGATATTCGCCTTTCATCCTCTCATTTTCGTAAACAACACCCCCGCCACGAGAAGGCAGTGAGTAGGACTTCCCTAGCAGAGGCTGTATACGCGTGGCCATGTGAGAGCATTTCGACAGGGAGGGCGGGCCCATCCCATTCTCGGCCATACCAGGGCATTTGGAGGCGCATATATACTTGGTGCCCTCTTGTACCAATATTTATGTGTTGAAATAAATAATAAATACTTATCCTATGTACTAAAGTTAACACTTGAATATCATTGGACAGGCATTTAATGTAGATTTGATTTGGTTTCTAAACGTTACATGCTTTTCGATAATCTTGATTTCGGTTATTACTCTGAAGAAGTCTAGACAGATTTTTTTGACAAAAGGTCGTAGTATTTCAAATTTCTAATATAATTTAAACAATTTGTTTTTGAACTTGCCGTACTGACCTTACAGGCTTTTAATACTTGTGTGCTAGGAATTACCATTTGGTATAAATGACTAAGATATTTTGAGGCTACATGTTGTGAACGAGGCTATCAATGGCATGACAATTCGTTAGATCCCGTTAGTTGGAAAAACCTAATTAAATCTGTCTAGCTTTAATTTTTTTAATTTGCAAGCTTCCGAATTTTCAAGTGTTAAAATTAAGTAAGCAAAAACACTTCAACATACCGTTTACTGGCCAAGTTCGAGTAATATCGGACGTATACCCGTTAAAGCGACATCCAGCATCCACCAAAACCAATTCCCCATTCTCAATCCTCATATTGTTTTTCATGTAATGAATTATGTTTGTTCTACTCCCTCCAGCAACAACAGGAGGATACCCGACAGAACAGCCTCGGCTGCGCATTTGGTATTCTATATGACCTTGTAAAGCAGTTTCCGTGATTCCTGGTTGTGTAATTTGCATAGCCGACTTAAGAGACTCGATCGCTGCAATAACCGCGGTTTTAATCTGTCTTATTTCATAATTTGATTTTATAAAGCGAATCCTGTCGATTATATAGTCTGGATTTTCAAAACTAATACTTTTGTCGCCAATTTGCCGGGAGAATTCTAAAATCTTTCTCAAAACGAACTTATTTAAGGGGCGCTCAACAAAATTTTTGGATGATAATGGACTATACCAAACACATATGGATTGCGCAAATAAAGCTTGATGGTTCAAAAAGTTACTAAATTCATTCAAAGGATGGGAATTACCAACCCCAGTTGCCAAAGAAGCTTCTGATAGCGTCAAAGATGGACCATCCCAGATTTCGGCATGTTTGTTTTGAGTCTCCACGAATAGATGAGTCGACCAATTGGAGCCACTTTGATCGCGATGCTCTTCTGTTTTATCTGTGCAAAACAACAGAACTCCATTTGGTTCACTTAATCCAGTGAAGTAGAAGAAGTTGGAATCTTGGTGAAAAGGGTATGGAACATGGTAAGCCATATACTGTATTTCTGAGGCTGGTATTATAACTATGTGATAGGAAGGCCTATTTACCAGCTGTTCAGTGCAAATGTTCAGTTTGTTGACAAAGATTTCACGGCGATTCTTCAATTCTACGAGAGGAACAGAAGAATTATTGTTTGGATAGGATGGCGAAGTGCATAACCATCGAACTGACGTTAAGGCTGAAGACCATATAACAGGAAGTTTTTTTGAAACAGAAATCATATATCACGGGTTTGTTGGAAATCCATACTGGCAGATCGGTTTTAAAGAAATGCACAAAGTGAAAACGAGCTACAGCTAAAGAATATACTTTTTAGCTGTTCCTTTTATGCAAAAGCTTGTAGTTTTCAAGAGACGAATAAGTGGTAGTAGTAGGGGTAATTACCCCTCGTATATTTCTGAGAAAAAAATAGCGATATCTAAAACCAAAGGTGAACAAATTAACCCAATTAAGATATTTAATCAAATATGTGTACTCAATACCAAGTAGTTTATTTAACCAAAAACAGTTGGGTACTTACGGGTCAATAGATACTGAAGCAAAACTTGGCTTCAAATGAAACCTTCTACAAATACTATGATACTTGAACTTGGAAGTACAAATATGCGGTCAATATATATATATATATATATATATATATATATATATATATCGAGACGGTACCGCCCAGATTCGAATCCAAGCAGACACTTTATTATAAGTAAGTAAGTTAGCCTTAGGAACCTTTATCTTTGATGATGACAGCAGCCGAAATAACATCGCTTCACGATCTTTCCAGTTGAAAACATAAATTTACAACTTTTCGTGTTATTGGGAAAATGTGGTCCGTTTTGGTTATATATTTGGGCTTGTTTGAGTATATTCACATGCATTTACTAAAGGCCTTGTTATAGCTGGGATTGGGGAGAGTCTGTTCTATCTGTCGGGTAGGGAAGCCAAACTCTGCCTTCTCGTCGATAGGGTGTAGTCTTCAAAATCAAGGAGGGTTAAATGCAGATGTCCGGAGTCCCCGGATCTTGAGGGAACCAATAGCATATGAACCTAATGTTAGTTACCAGTCATCGTGGGATCGCACCTCTGAAGATTTCTTCACGGACTTGTGAATTAGCTCTCTTTTGGGCTTGAGGAGTGGCCTCCAAATGAAACAACCTGCTTCGATTGAGTTACCTAGGGACAACCCTAGCCCTCACACAAATTTAACGAGTACAAATCGGGAAAACTTTGCTTTCTTCAACCATCATTCCCAGGAATTTTACTCAAGGTTATCCAATAACATTCGTCCTCATTTTACATCGAGTCTCATCCTATTACCCATTATTCATATTGAGTGCATTCCACTATTTTCCAGCGCTTATGGAAGCTCGCCTGTTGTAGGGATTATAACCTATCTAAACTATCTCATGTCACTGGCCCGTCGGAAGCTAAATGGTTCCGCTGAATACGAAGTCTAAACCAGGCTTTCTGGTAGCTGCCGGTGGCCCCTTCAGCCTAATCGACAATCCGTGAAGCTGATGGAATTCTAGTCAGTTAAACCTGCCAATATCTCAGACGAATAACGGGTTCGCCCATCTGGTGATATCAACTAGACCTCTGATCGGTGTCGGCTAATCCATCAAACGAGGCAGAAACCCACATGGAAATCCGACTCTGAGAACGCCATCAATCTTCATGTTCAAATGACATCATCTGCTTCTTCGAAGTATGATGGAAAACCTCAAGTTAGGGAACCGACTGAATTGTTCTCAAATTTTGTCTAGAAACGTTTAAAAAAGCAGTGTCCCTACGTCCTGGAGTGGTACTATATTCAACCGTATATTTAAAATGGGCTTATGTCTCCTGCCCAACAACCTTCGGGAGAATAGACATCTTCCGATTGCATTCAGATTATTAGCTTACGCCGCAGATTGTTCAAAACTTGGGAAAGATTGATCCTTAAGGAGCAAGCTGGTCCTCTTCGTTCTTGAAGATGTATTAGTCATATTCCACCCTCTCCAGTCAAATTTTAGAAAAACACCATACTTTTGCTGCAAACTGTCAATGTACATCTTTGCACCAGGGCTGCCTGCGATCTGCTGAATAGGAGAACAAGAGTATCCATGAGTCGTTTGTTAATATTTCGGAAACTCTTTATACCAATACCTCAGGCAGAATCAAGGTACACAAACACATGTTGATAGTTGATCAGGATCTGACACTGTCGTCGTATGAGAGATTAGTGCACGGGACAGACATCTGTTGGTACTTCAAGACTATTTGGTTGAGGTTTTAAAAGTAATGAAACACAGTGGCTTGAGAAGCTACTAGACATTCCTCTGAACGGAGGCCAGTGAATGTCGTGCCCGAATTTTCTTTGACATCTGATTGAAACTCCCTTAACAAATCGAATCTTTTTTTATTTGGACTGCCTCCTTCATTACTGTTTCTATAACTATTTTGTTTCGCTTCCATAGGCCGATTTCCATTCATTTTTCCTTTTTTTTTTATCATACTTGCCTCTTTTTCTTTGTCTTTTCACGCCCTTATTTGTATTACGTGGAATTCCTTTTTACCAACATTTATGTGTTTAGATAAATAGATGAAATATCAACGACCCTGGGATGCAAGTCAACAATCTTGGAAGCACTGTCTATTCACGGAGCAATAAACAACAAAAAGAAATTAAGTTACGGTTGAATAATGGTGTCAGTATGACAAATCCTTTACATACTATTTCATTACTTGCAGTAAAGGAGAGAGGCTAGGACTATGCATTAAGATTTGAGCGATTGGTGAGAATCATGATTACAACATGGTATGGTTTCGTAAACGACTGACATCAGTTATGATGCTAAAATGTTGGGGTTGGGCAGTGGGTGTTAAACTGGAGTCACGTTTCAGTATTACAAATCAGGTATGAGATACTTAACTTGAGCTAATTTCAAATAAAATGCAAGCACGTTTTATCACCATTTTGTTTTCGAATTGAAATAACTTACGATTAAGATACAGAATAAGAGTGTAGAATGGGAGAATACTATTTAGTAATACAAGCGTACTTGATTATGTGCCGAATCGAATAAAGTAAAATGACAAACCATCCTCATCAGAAGAGAGCATTTCATTTGGTCTGAACCGTGTTATTATTGTTTTCATCAATTTGTTGCACAGCATGGACTTCTGTGCTTGAAATCAATAACAATTCTTACAAATTTCAGGTATTTAAAGCACGACGCATGGCAGATAATCTAATTAGCTACTCACAAAATACAAGCTTCCCAGTATTGTGGTGTTTTGCAGTCAGCCCAAAGATATTTCAAGTTCTTGGGAATTTGCAGGAAGAGAGAAAAGGGGAAAAGGACAACTGGTAATACAGCAAGTTCATAAAATCTCCTAGCTCTGAAAAGGTAAACTCTGAAACAGCAATCAGTTATAGCACACGAATAATATCAGGAGAGTCTAAAGACGAGATCCACTAAAAGCTTGGATTTCACGCAAAAGTATTCCATAATCTGTCTTACATCTGCTCAGTCAACACAAGAATTCCACCGTAATACTTGTATGATTATAGCAGATAGTGTTTAAAAGGATCCTTTTGATTGTATTTTTCAACGTAAAAGTGTCATAAAGTGAATTCAAGATAGAAATAATATTTATAAACTTATTCAAACTTCCCTTAATTTATTGCGATACGCACTAAGCTCGAGATACGTCAGTCTAAATACACAATTCTGAAACGTATTGTAGATTGCCATTACAGGGGATATGTATGGATAATCCCGGACCTATTCGAGTTGGGTGAGAATTGTGTGAGCTCCTAGTCTACGCCAAAGTCAAGCTGACGGGACTTACTATCCAAATATGACCGACTGTAGCCCTCCAGAATATCAACGTAGTATGCTACAATTGAAGAGTAGTATAACTAACCTCCGTGAAGATTGACCGAATTATAATAATGTTATAGTCAACCCTTATATCTGTAAATGCCCATGTATTTATGCACATCAGTAATTCTTACGCAATAATTACTTCCTTTGATTCTCCCGAATTGCAGCTTTAGGATTCCGCACTAATAATGCCGTTAGTTTGTTATAATCAAGTACAGAATGTAACACTGAGGATGATGTGTACCAATAACAGCTTAGCTTGAAAAAAAGGAAAAATGGTATGAACATTTCTAACTTTGTATCCTGGAAATCCTGAACCAACAGGTGAACCTTAATCACGGAGGAATTACCGATGATTCATGTAACCCAGTTACGGATTCCATCAATAATTATGTTTATGAACTTTATTTCAACGGTTTGGCTGGTATCGTATTCGGACCCTGGTTCAAGTAGTGTGAAGATTTGTTCAGGGTCGACTTCAATACATTTGATGGCTCCACGAAGATCAGAATGTATTGAACGAAAACACAAGTGGGCGCAACAAGATGTATTTGAACACAACATTACAGAAAATCTGAGTAAAATCAAGGAATACGCAATTTGCAAAATGTAAATTAGTTGTCTCAAACTTGAACGTTCCTTCATTTCCAAGGAAATTATTCATTGGTCTCGTCCTCTTTTTATGCTCTTCTTAATATTATTCTGCCAGGTATTTCACTTTCGATTGATGACGCTTACTACTTATATCTGTCAACATCAGTAGCACACACTATAAGTATACTCCTGAGAAAACTTGGCTGGGCTAGACGAAGAGGACGGTAAATCTACCTTTTCGAAGAATTCAAAATACTTTTCTTTCCATGCAACAATCGACATCCCATCAGAAATCTTTGCTGACCAGTCATCTTTGTTTCATAACTGTTATTCGTACCTCAATTTAACGAAAGCTGGTGACGATGACTGCATGAACATGCGGGTTTAGTAATTCGCGAATTTGAATGGTTTACACCATCAGCAATGGCAGATCAGTTTGACTGTACCGCGCTTGTATGCAGTTTCTGATCTCCTGAAGAGGCTGATGCCAGAAGCAGAATTTGAGTAAAATTTAGGTATCTTAACATAACGCTACAACAAGTGACCATGAAATACCAGAGATTGGTAAAGCTGTTACAAGATATTTTCATATCTTGCGATCATATGTCTATGCTGTGGGCTAGAAGCAAGATTATGGCTCACGAATACCATCCCTCACAGACAACTAGCACTCATCTCAGTGCTGGTTATGTGAAGGTCGTCATTACAAAAAGGTCTGTGTATATAAAGATCATCGTTGCAGAAAAAGAATCCCTAAACATTAT